CTCTCTCTCTCTTTTCCGCAGCTGCGGCCCCCGCTTGGTGCGTTTCGGGGGAGCCCTCGTCCGCCTCTTCCCGCAGGTGCTGAACACTTGGCGAGCCGGCCAGGAGTTCCCTTCGCCCGGGCTGCAGCGGCCTTACAGGTTGGTGGGGGAGGGTCTCTGGGCCTCGGGCCGCCTCCCACAGGGGGCCCCTACCCACCCCCCCCGATCCCTGTCTCCTCAGCGCGGTTCGGGCCCGGCTGTACCAGGTGCTGGATCTGTGGGTCCAAGTGGCCGGAGCGGCCTCGGGGCTCCTTCTGGGGCACAGCAGCCAAAGCGACGCCCTCCTGGGACACTTGATCCAGGACATCAGCCCCCCGAGCGACGCCCTGAAGGTGAGCCCACCCCCCCCCCCCCCCCCTCCTTCTGCCCTGGAGGGCGGGGCCGCCCTCCCTGACGTGCTCTGCTCTCCCCCTCCCCCTCCCCTTCCCCAGATCCAGCCAAGCCCCGCCTTGGAGGGGAAACCCAGCGCCGCGAAGAAAGCCAAACTCTCTCCGGCGAGCGGCCTGGGCTGCCCGTTCCGCAAGCACGACCCTCAGGCCAACAGCGACGTGTGCCTGGCGGCTCTGCAAGGTGACGTTTTCCGCCCTCGGGAGGGGGGGGGAGGGAGGGGCGCAGGCCAGGCTCCCTCTTCGGTCCCCGCTGGAAGGGGAGCAACCTCGTCCCCCGCTATCTGGGCCAGCCCTTCCCCCTTTGAGCAAACCTCCTCTCTTCTCCAGGCCTGAGCCGGGCCGTCCTCACCTCGGGCAGCCTGATGAGAGAGCAGCTACACACGGTGAGCCAGGCGGGGCGAGGGAGGGCGACGGGAGAGGGAGGGGAGTGCCCCGTGCCGAGGGAGAGGGGGGGAGAGCGCTCTACTCCTCCCGCTGAGAGAGACCCTCCGTCCCCAGAGGCTGCAAGAGCTGGCCATCCCGCTGCTGATCCGGCTGGGCCAGGCCGACCTGCCTCTGGGTTCCCCCTACGCCAGCGCCGGCTGCCGACGCGAACTCTACCGTCTGCTGCTGGCCCTCAGCCTGGCGCCCGCCCCTTCCTGCCCGCCGCCTCTGCACTGCGCCGTCCGGTTGCTGAGCCAGGGCCGGACGGATCCCAACCTCCTGGTGAGCATCCGGTTTCCTCCACCCCGCCTTCTCGCTCTGTCGCGGCGTCGGTGTGGGAACGGAGGAGGAGGAGGGGGGCGGTTTTCCCGAAATAACGGCTCTCCCCCGTGCCGATTCTCCCGCTACCGGACATCCCGCCTCTCTCTCTCTCCCGCGCAGGTCTCGTCCTTCTGCACGGAGGCCTCGGTCATCTGCAACGCCCTACTACACCCTCGCGTGCCCTCTCTGCAGATGCCGCTCCCCGGCCCTCCCGCTCACCTGCCGGGCTCCTCGCAGGTCTCCCCGGCGGTGGCGGCGGCGGCCGCAGCGGCTGCCAGCCTGTCCCCCTTCTGCCCGGCCGTCCCAGGGCCTTTCCCCGCCCTCCGGCCGCTCCCTCCGGCCCCCGGCCCTCTCCCGGCTAGCTTGCTGGGCCTCCCCTTGTCGGGGCTGACCGCTCCCCCGCTGCCTCCCCGGCTTCTCCCCGAGGATCCCCTTCCCCCTCCCTCCCCGGGCCCCGGCGAGGCGTCGGCTCTGGGCCCCGGCGCCAAGCTGCGGCGCTCCGTCTTCGTCCATTACGACAAGGAGGAAGAGGAGGACGTGGAGATCTCGCTGGAGAGCGACTCGGACGACAGCGTGGTCATCGTGCCCAAGGGGCAGCTGGGGAAGGCGGCCGTTGCCGTTGCCGCGGCCCCGAACTCGGCCCCGGGGCCCGCGCCTCCCGCCCCACCGCCCCCGCCCGCCCCGCCCGCCCCCCCTCCTCTCCCCACACCCCCTTTGGTGGCCTGTGAGGAGGCCGCCCCAGAGCCCCCGGCGGCCCTGACTCTGGCGATCCCCCCGCCGGCCCCGGCCGCACCGGTCCTGCCGCCTTCCCCGGTGGCCGTAGCCGCCGAAGCCCCCTTGCCTCCGGCGCTGCTGGAGGAGGACCCCACCGTCATCAACATCAACAGCAGCGAGGAAGAGGAGGAGGAGGAAGAGGAGGAGGAGGATTTCCCCGAGGACGAATTCCTGGACGAGGAAGAGGAGGAGGTGAGGCCGGGACGGAGCGGCCGGGGAGTCCCCGGTCCCCAGAGCGGGGAGGGCGGGAGTGCAGCTACGGCGCAGCCCCGGCTGGAGCGCAGACGGTCCGGTGGCAGGGCAGCTGCTCGTGCGTGTGTGTGTGTGTGTGTGTGTGTGTCAGTAGCTTTTTTTTTTTTATGAACAAGTTTTATTGATTTTTGAAGACAAACAAAATATAACACATAGAGGTATAAAACCTCCTTTTCTAAGAATTACTTATAAGTTTCAACGAGGCAAATAAAGCATTATTTTTTAAAACATAGTTCCACATTATCACACTTCCATTTACACCTATATATCTTTTCCCAATTTCTCATTATTTCTCCCTTCGCTTTCATTCAATCGTGTTTCCTTCTATCAAAGTGTCAGTAATTCTCAATCAATCCTAAGCACACAAAATACATAACCTAAAGCAAAACATTGGAGAGAAAAAAAACCCCAAAAACCTCCTTAGTTATCATTTATACATACCTTTTCCCGATTTCTCTCCCTTTAATTTCATTTCTCCAAGATTTTATTAATTTAGAATTAATTTATTAGAATGAATAAATAATTTTATTAATTAAATCATCCACACACTAAACAAAAAACTTCTTTTGAGAAGTGACTTGGCCCCAGGTTACATCTTTTTGGACAGACCTAAATCAAATTCATGTCCACCTTATATACCCTTCATATCTTATTAACCCTTTTGTATTCTCTATATAACTTCTCCCATCTTTTCACTCTCTTAATTATATTTTATTTAGTTCATCTTATTTCAAAGTCATTATACTTACGTCTTTTGTCCGTTCTTTACCAAACATCTATGAATCTCTTCCCTTTAACAAAAAATTTCCTCTGTAATCGCTTTTGAAGTATGACGCCTTCTCCTAAAAT